GGCTACTTTATTGGATGCGAGAGTAAGGTAATATACTATATCTATTCTCTGGAGAAATATAAGGTCTATCGGATCGGCGTTATAAGGATCGAAGATAGTAAAGGGCTGCGCGATCTATATAATACACTGTGTTTAGAAGATAGGATCCCTACCCTAGATGTTGTAATTATAGATAATAATCTCTCGGAAGACGGGTTAGAATCTTTAAGTAATTTAAATAGTGACCATGATGATGGTGGCTCCTACTATTATTAATACACTGTAATCTCCTCGGATAAGGAAATTGCTGACTAAGAGTACCAATTTTCTAAAGCGATATATGAGTTATAAGATAAGGTCGAAGACGCTAATGATGAAGACGAGACCGATAACAGAGACTTGGGCCCTATAATTGTATCTAAGTATTTCAATCAAATTAAGTACGCCGGCATGGCTAAACGCAAGGTTCCGGATGAACCTATAGTAGCGCTAAGGAAAAGCCGTCGAGCTACTCACGGACTATATGATATCGAACTAGACCATTTAGACTTAGATTTATTGGACTCGAACGACGATTCCTGGTACTACTCGGAAGATGAAAAGATTTCACAGGCTTACTGGCAGTTTGTCGCAAATCATGGCGGTAATCATATGAAGAATTTTCTACCTGATGATGATAAATGCGACTGTTGTTTCCGAAACGGAAGAAGATGCGACTCTGCTGAGAAAGGAATACCCTGTTCAATTTGTAGGAAAGAAAACTAAGGCTGCAGACCACAGTTAAAGGAAACGAAACGCCTGATTCTTCCTGAGAACCGCCACAAGCGTAAACTAATTGGAAGAGTATAACAGGACCAGCCATATAGAAGATGCTTCCAGACAAACCGCACGTGTTTTCTTGTTGATCTAAGTAATCCACAATATAAAGGATGTCAAAAAGCAAAAATGAATTGCAACTGGAACTTAGATGGAGCAAAACAATCAACAGCGCGACAGAGGAGAAGACAAGCTGAAAAAGAAGCAAGGTATGAAAATCTTGGATTTGCACCAGTCCCTCGAGATCAGAAATGTTACCGATGCGCATCAAAAATAATGGTATGCGATGGGAAGATTCCGTGTAATAAGTGTAGTACCCTTCTTTAGCGCTTAGCGTGTCGGCCACAGGGCGTAGAGGATTTATGTCCTTGTGACTAGTGCAGATATGGAAGTAGGAGTGGAAAGAAGTGTGACCGCGGACGACCTTGTAAGGTATGTATCTATGGAAAGTCAACATGTAGCTACAAAGCTCAGCATGGTTTGCTAACTAGAATCTATCGCGCTCCTGATTCCCTACTTCTAATAGGTTTCTCCTCAGTGGGACCTCTTGAGGAAGGAGATCCGTCTGATGAGGAATGCGTACGCTGTCGAAGAATGAAATTGAATTGTGATGGCAAACAACCTTGTTACCCATGCATTAAGTCGCAAGATAACAGTCACGTTGCCAATTGCAATTATCGGCGATCTGATGGAACGTACGAGTCATGGGCGATTCGACCATTCGAGGTGAAAGGCCTGACCGAGCCGAATCTTCAGGAAAATTACCAGATCTACGCTAGTCGGAGGAAGCTTCAAGCTTCCCACGAGCCGGGATCAGTGAGAGAGACAATCGAATCCAACTCACATGATATTGAGAATTACAATCGACGCGGGGCGGCCAGGGATAGCCACAAAACTTTCAAAGTTGGTCTATCTGTATACTCCGAGCACGTTCCTTCACCTCTACAGCTGAGAACTGATGGTACTGGGAGCACAAAGTACCACCAGGCTAAGATGGAAGAGTTGAAATCACACAAAGAAAAGGGCACATGGAAGGTCGTTCTACTTCGAGATGGCATCAAACCGGTTACCTCACGGTGGGTCACTACGGACAAGTATGGACCAGGTGGCGAAGTCACTAGGCGTAAAGCTCGTCTAGTGGCAAGAGGTTTTTAACAAGAAGAGGGCATTGACTATGAGGAAACGTTTGCGTCTGTGGTCAAATCGACTTCCACCCGTATCTTGCTCGCGTTAGCGGCGCTTTGTCATTGGCACATTTACCAAGGAGATGTCAAAATGGCGTTCCTGAACAGTGACTTGGATAAACCCGTCTATATGAAAGCTCCGAGAGATGTGGAATTACCTTGTGGATACTGCTTACTGCTCCTAAAGGCCCTTTACGGTTTGAAGCAGTCACCTCGAGCGTGGTATCAGAAGCTCCGGGATACTCTTGTTCGCTGGGGTTAGCGAATCTCTGCCTACGATCTATGTGTTTTTATTAATAACGGAACAGGGCTTATCCTGGAAGTTCACGTGGACGATATAAACGTGATAGGTAGAAGCCTTTAGGAAATCCTTAATTTTAAGGGTTAATTTTCGAAGGAATTTCCGATATCTGACGAGGGGGAGTGCTCCTAGTATTTAGGAATGCACATAGAGCAGAAGCTAGGAGAGATCTATCTCTATCAGAAATAATATATCGACTAAATGGTTAACAAATATGGCTTTAAAGATACAGCCCCTGCTAAGACTCCCCTTGACGCAAAAATCAAGCTCGCGAAACAAGGCGACTACGTCGCTAAAACCAAATTTCGTAAAGAATATTAGTCGAAGGTCGGCTTGCTAAATTTTAGCAGTAATTAGACAAGACCGGATATTGCCTATGCTATAGGTTATATGGCCCGCTATGTATCTAATCCAGATCGGGCTTATATAGATGCCGTTGATTGGATCTTTATATACCTGAAGAGCGACCCTAGGAAGGGAATTGTCTATTCAGACAGACACGGCCTCTAGCTGAGGGGTTTCGTCGACAGCGACTTTGCTGGATGTGAGGACTCGCGTAAGTCAATAACTGGATGGGTGTTTACGCTTACTGGAGGGCCTATATCGTGGTCATCCCAGAGACAAAAAACAGTGGCTATATCAACTATAGACGCGGAGTATATTGCATGCGCCGAGGCTGCGAAGGAAGCTATGTGGATTCGCAACTTTATTAATGACCTCCGCATCCCCGGAGTACATATTGACACAGTTCCGCTTTATATCGACAATAACGCAGCCTTGAAGCTCACCAGGAATCCAGAGTTCCACAGTAGAGCCAAACACATTGACGTCAAGCATAACTTCATTCGGGAAAAGGTGGAGGAAGGTCTTATTGATACCCAGCGCGTCAATACAAAGGACAACTTGGCAGATGTTTTCACTAAAGCTTTACCGAGGTCTACACACGAAGACCTTGTAAAGCGTCTGAATCTCCATTCAGGGGGAGTTATCGAATCTGAACCTTTGTTGGAAAAAAGGAAAGAAATCGCCGGATCAGATCCTGGGATCATTGAGGTGCCTCGGCCCCTTCGGGTCCTTGGCACAGGGGGAGAGTTGGATCCCAGGTCACGTGATGTATATAGATCTATAGGAGTGGCTGCCTGTTAGGCAGACACTCCGCTAGGCAGCAGGGAGATGAGCTGCTGCAACTACAAATAGCTGGATCTCTTCATATAGATGAATCATCACACTTGTACCTCAATCCAGGGTTCAACTAAAAAGGCGATATGCAGGCTACAACTACTGCGTAAATACATGCATTTGTGTTCCACGGAGATTGTTCCAAACTTCCTGAGCGGTGAACTTTGAGCCTCACCTGATAAGGCCTGTCGTGGCCAGCTTGCCGTTCATGGTGTTAGGCTGCCTTCATGGCGCGGCTATAATGAGTTCCTCGATAAGGCCGCCAACAATCGCCTGCGGCTGGCTGCATCTCGGCTAGAAGCCTTGAGAATGCTGGTAAAGCTGAGATTAAAATCCTAGCGAGAGACTGTGAAGCAGATGCTTTTTTGTTGCGAGCTCGACTAGCTGAGCTCTTGCTGGTTTTCTTGTTGAGTTGGAATGGCGATGGTTTGTTGTGGAAACGGCGATAAAGGTCTTCGATTGTGAGTGTGCGTTTAGGAGAAGGTACGGATTGATAGGTATTGGAAGTTGGGTGCGATAGACAAGGTTTGGGGCGTTGCAAAACTGAGGCATAGGTAGGTTGTTGGTCTGGTGTGGAGGTAACGGGGGGTGTTGAGTAGAGAGGTTGAGGAGGCTGAGAGACTTTAGAGGAGTAGGTCGGTTGAGGTTGTTGCGGTCCTGGTTCAGGTATCGTAGTGGACTGTTCGGGGGCTGTATCGATGTTCATGGTTGAAGGTTCATCTGGCAGAATGGATGCTGGCGCTGATTCGGGAGGTGGTCGTTGAGATGGAGATGCGGTGTCTGAGGGGGTGACCATGTTGGGCATTTCAAAGGTAGGCTTCAAATCGCGACAGATGATCTGCCATATGCAGTCTGCCAAATGGAGTTGTTGCATCTCTTCAATGGGATTATCCTGGAGTGTGTACAAGAGGATAGTCGATCCGCAGGCAAAACAGCACGCTGATCCTCCAGATCTTGAGGGCTTGCAATACAGGCCATTCTGAGCAAGTTGGAGAGGAGTGACGTCGGTAAGCACTTGTCTATGAAACGAGAGAGCTCTAGCTGCGATGGTGGAGTAGGTGATCGGGATTTGGTGGAGAGGTTCGTCGTTGGGATGTGGGGTAGTTCGGTTGGGTGGAGCAGAGGGGTTAGCGGATTTGAGGAGCGAAGAAGGACGACGTAGGGCTGAGAGAGGCTTGGGCTTCCAGCCTCCTCTGGCGTCTGGATGCTGCGAGCTCATCTCTCGATGATCTGAGTCCTTATCATACAGGGAGGATCGAAATCAGTTTCCCCACTTTGCTCGATACAATTCTTGTCGAACCCCAATCCGAAACACGCTAGTCCATCTTTGGCTTGGCTCGGTTTCAAGTATTGAATCGCATTGAAATACATCACCACGTGATATGCTGTGCTGTAAATTACTTGTAATGCTCCTGCTTAAAATACCGGCATCTCGCAGGTCATTGCTCGCTCGTTGACAACTTTCCTTCTGTTTTCCCTCAATATCTTAACAACGATGTTTACTAAAGTCGTAAGTTCAATCCTTAAATGATGCAATAAGCCTACCCCCAGCTATGGGACCACAGTTGCCCTAGGAGGACAAAAGCCTCATCCTTGAAGAACTCGTTGGCGGCGAAACGCAGTCGAATGGCGCCGTTATCTTCAAGAGCACGGACGAGGTGGATAGTCAGCTGATCGGATGCTAACTTTCCCAGGCTGCCCTTAGTGCCCTCGACAAGCTGCGTGAGGACCCAATCAATGACCTGGTCCAGCGGCGGCGGAGGTCCTTCCGGAAAGTCAAAGTCAACATTGGGGTCGCCCACTCGCGCGTTGGCAACAGCTGCGATGGTCATCTCCCGGGGGTTCGTGCTGTTGACACCGATATAGGGCGCCCATGTGATCGAGTTGTTCTGAAGTGTGAGGCGCAGGCTTACGCTCGTACGAAGCACGTCGTGCCCGCAGCGGTCCCTGACGGCGGCCTTCGCGGACCCTTCGCCTGCTAGGTCGATGACAGCCTCAATGCCATTATCTCTTATCTTTGCCTTTTCGAGTGACACGCGGTACCAGAAACGCACCGACGCGTACACAGCTCCGTTTTGCGACGTAGACGTGGTTTGATCATGACCGAAATTGGCATACAGCTTCGCAATCTCCTGGAACGCCTTCTCGCTCATTCCAAAGGCTGCGACCTGCGCCGCGCCGAGGATATCCGTATAGTCGGCGCGTTCCTCTGTGACCAGCTTGCTCCACTTCTTCGGCAGAGACCGTCCGTACTTTGTCTGCTGCTGAAGAACCTCCAGGATAGTCGGTGTAGAGCTGCTGTCTGATTCCGATGCCGCCTGCGTCAGCGATGGTTGCTCACAGTAGCAGGGCGGTGGAAGGTTGAGGCTTCTCATGGAAAAGACAAGGAACAGATACGAGATGGGCCGGCCATGGACCTGGACCGTCTTGAACTGAAATCCCAGAAAGTCCAGCTTCATATTCAGTACTCGGTCCCAGTAATCAGGAAGCGGTCGTGACTCAAGGTACGCCGGAAGCGCAAATCCTAATTCCCCCGATTTGCTTGTGATCTGGGTGACATAGTCGCTGACACTTTTCTCAAACTGGGCAACACTCGCAAAGCCGCCAGCCACGCCAGTCTCCGCGCTCGGATCCCTGATATCAATAGAGGTCGAACCTAACAGCTGGGCGGACACAAAGTGGAGCCCCAGAATCTCCTTATCCTCAATTACCATAACAGGCCTACACCGGACTGACACCTGAACCAGAATCACGGCGACCGGTTCGGGAAATTCTGCCGGGTCCGCAGTGCGATAGAAGGCTAGCTGCAGATTACCCGCGATGACAAGCTCCTCGGCATCCACGTCAATGTATACCATTGGGTACCACGGGTACTCCAGTGATTCCATGCTCAGCCTGACCTTGAGGAACTTTACTGGGCCGATCTCTGGGCCGATCGGTACCTCGGGCGGGGTGCTCGGCTGTACCATGAGATGTGCAAAGGACGCCTCAGAGAATCCAAACGCGAGTGCATTCACACTCTTGTCATCGAACTCGGCATCTCTCAGAATATCGCGAGTGACGGCTGCAACAGTTGAGTCGAGCTCGAGAAGCTCGACTGTGATCAAAACATGCTCGTCGGTTGAAAACCCTTGGGCGGTGAAATTTAAGTCGTAATCGAAGCCAGGAAGCAGACGCGATAGCTCCAAGGGTCCCTTAATGGATGGTTTCCTGTCTGGCACTTCTCCGTATATGATGTTGACATAGGTGTCGTTTGGCTTACAAGTCAACACCACACTTATCTCATGATTTCGTTTGCCGACATCTCCGGTTATTGTCACACGCACTGCGGAGAAAAGATATTCGTGCGGAACATCAAAGGGCTGCGTGAATGGGCCGAACCAACCGTCGGCTTTGCCTTCGAACCGAAAAGTTTGGATGTTATGGTTAGACATTGTTGCACATTGATCTGTCAAACAAAATGCCTGCAGAACATTTTCCTTCGCGGGGTGCGATGATATATATCATATCCATCACGGGAAGACTCAAATATGGGACGTTTACGGGCTTGTGCGCCTTCTAGGAATTCACGGTTGAGTTGCAGCCGCCAAGCGGCTGAGCCGGGGCACCTGTCAAAGTCGACTACGTCGACTACGGGTACAGTACTTACCTTCAACCAATGGCCATATAACCCTTGTCGATCTACCTAAGTAATTAGGAAGGTATGGAATAGCAATATGGCAACGCGAATCTAGATCTTGAGTCTATTTTTTTCCCGAATTTCTCAACCATTGGCTCCCTTACGCCTTGCCGAAAGAAACCAGCCAGTATATAGTATTGTGACGAAAGACGTTTAAATGCAATCATTATCGAATAATTTTGTCCTGACACTATTAAGACTTGATTCCCTGAAAAATATCGTAGTTCTGACTGGACCTTCCTCGTTTTCTATTGAGAGCTCGGGAGAAGGACCATCCCATCCAAATCCAGAAAGACGCAGCTTGTTGAAATGATGTAAAGTGACCTGCAAAGTCGTATTTGATGTCGTATTTCGGGGGTGCTACCTAGGTAGTCACAGGAGCGTGTCCAGATCCACTGGGAATCACGTTATCTGTCGAAAGCATGACCCGTGGCTGGAACAGGTATAACTTCATATCCATGGATATAGACATGTTCTAAGTTTTGAATGCCTCTTACATCTCACATGATAACACTCGGCTGACTGCAAGTGGGGGATTGAATCTCCTAGCCCATTCGCACATGTTTCATAGAACCCAAAGAATAAATCAAACTTGCATCGGATACCTAGGTAGTTTGGCGAACCGATTCAACCTTGGAAGTTCTACAGCTGTTATCAAAAAATTGAAGGGAGAGTTTCGCACCGTCGAAATCGGCGGTCATATTGTCACTATTCTTAACTTTAGTTATGTGCAATTTCTAGTGGGTCTACAAAGCGAAAGCAGAGAGCTTCATCACATTGTGATTGGCCGGCCACTCTGGGTTCTGGCGACCGGCCTCCGGGTAAATTGCCGGCCCACCGGCCCCCGGATTTCCCTGTGTCGATCAATGCGGGGTGTGGCTTCAACCGGGGGAAAGTCCGGAGCATATGGGTTTCTCCCATATTTCTGCTAATACATGCTAGGACACAGACTTAGGCAAAGATAGGGGCTTAATGGTGGGTTTTCCCTGGTCATAATCTACATTCTTTACTACGCAACATTTTACTGTGTAGCGATATACATAAAAGGTGGGATTTTCTTCCGAAGTTTCTTTGCTGGCTACATTTGCACACATTGCTTTTCCGTCTTGATTTGACTTCAACCTTTGAAATGCGCTTCCAACATATAGCTTTTTTCTTGCATCTCCTCCTATCCTCTGCATTGGCTAGACCCGACGCTAAACTCTTCGCGCACCCGGGCACATTACACACGAACAAAGACATCCAAAGAATAAGAGAAAAGGTGAAAACTGAAGCGGAACCATGGTACCGTGCATGGCAGCACCTTGAGTCTGCGAAATTGGCCCAGACGTCATGGATCTCAAAGCTGCACGAGGTTGTTGTTCGCGGCACCAATGCTACATGGCAGCCAACACCAGCACAGAACAACGGAGATGCGTACCGTGATGCTCACTCCGCTTACCAGCTTACTATTCGTTGGCTTGTAGGTGGCAATACTTCATATGCCGACCACGCTGTTGACATTCTCAATGGCTGGGGCTCAACACTGCGTGATATCAACGGCACCGAAGACAAGTTCCTTGCGGCGGGCTTGTATGGATACCAGTTTGCCATTGCCGCTGAGCTACTCCGAATCTATCCTGGTTGGACAAAGGCGAACCAAACAGTCTTCGCCACTATGCTGAATGATGTCTTTGCAAAATATAACTTCCGACTTTCATTACTATCGTAAACTTATGGACGGTAAGTCTTGGCGGGCAGAATTTATCCTCTACCTAGAAGTGCCAGTGAAGGGGCATATTGTGAGCCCTGTTCCCATGGTTAGAGCGCCTGGGGCTGAGATACATAATCATCGTGGGACGGCAGCTCTACACATGATTTACGCCTTAGCCGAACGCAGTTAGGGTGGTTTCGGGTACGAGCCGAGAAACAATTCGTGAGTTTCCATGGGGAAATCTGTTTTCGAATATTGCTGTAAATGGCGGCATCAGAGCTCGGTCACAGTGACGATAAGATTCTAGACCATAAGAGAAGACGGACATGATGATAAACGGCGACATCAGAGCTCGGTCATAGTGACGATAAGGCTCTAGACCATAACAGAAGACGGACATGATATAATTGGATAGAATAAAACCGCCCTTGATTTCACACTAGCGTAGCATTTGATGTCATAACTATGTTTTTTCGGTTTGTCTGTAAACTGGAATACTGTACGGCTAAAATCTAGACTGAGATTTAAGCTTCTTCTGAGCTACCGCAATAATATTGCTGTCAACCAGACAATATTTAAGTGAGTGAAACCCCTCTTGAAGGAGTTTGAGTACTCACAAGGCAACCCCACATCCTTTATTATCCTACAAAATGGGTCCCATCAGACATATCATGAATACGAATGGGAATTCAGCGCTGATTTTCGGATCTCAATTTAATATTACATACATCCCCTACGGGGCTGTGGTTTACAATCCAAGCGCCGCCCAAGAGTCAGGCTACTTGTTTCTTCCTATGGCAGCACTCTCATACTTGGATGGTAAAAGTCTCACTCTCAACAGAGTCGAGATCTACTTTCGAGAAGGGAAAGCCCGGATCAATTCCATTCAATTCTGGTCGGGTGGGGACCAGCCATTTGCAACCACCACTGAAGCTGTGAAAGTCGACGGGGAAAAAACATTTCCCTTTTCTGTCAATAATCGACGCCTTACAGATGCTGTTGGGATTTGGTTCAATATTATTTTGGAGGGTAATGCTAAGTTGGTGTTAGGCGGAGCTGCACTTTACCTGGGAGAATCTGAGTTTGGCCTCCAAGAAGACCCTAGCAAGGAAGTTCTGAAAACAATACCTGGAGGATTGCCTGGTGTTTGAGCGAAAGTACTTTTTTAATACGAGTTGAGATGCTTTTGTGATGCTTCAAACCTGTGATTTTCAGTAAGCTTTGTGGTTACAGGCACTACCGTGTTTAGAAAATGCTAGGAAGGGAATACTCCCCTGTTCATTGAAAATGGATGGAGAAATTGGCCTGAGAGCTCAAAAGAAAGGGAAGTCATAAATTGGCTTTCTCCATTGGTCAGTAAGCGTCACGACTTAGCCGTGAGGAGGGATTTGTGATACTATATAATGATGGCTTAGATAGATCATCTGTTCTACCTGACGATACCTTGTCTGATCTGCCTAGTAGTCAGCAGGCCGAACAACTAATCCTATCTTCTCTTGAGCGCCTTAATGACCAGACAAAATCCTGGGTGCTCTACTCCGATATGACGAAGGAAGACTTTGTTAATTGGTGGTTAAGTACCTATTTCGGCTCAAAATCGGATGCGAAGCGTATGAATTAGGCTAGGAGGGGCTATTCGTCTGAAGTATGGACTCATTTCGACCAAGTCGCCGACCCCTCGACAGGCGAGCCAAAGGCTATATGCAAGCAGTGTAAAAGGGTATATGACCATCCTAACTATGCTTCCAACGCAACTACCGGCGTCCGTACTTAAGTTTGCGGCTGCCCCCTTTGCGGTATTTGTAAAGAGTTCCTTTTTGTTTATAACCAGCCGAACCACTTGTTGACTTCTCATATTCAGCCACTTTACTATACTGCAAGGCACGTTGGAGGTCTGTGATCCAGACTCCCTCGTTATTTTGCATAGCTCTTCTAAAAACAGGAATATCCTTGACACTCCTGAACTTAATATATACTAAGGAAGAGTCCATACCTAGAAAACGTTAATCGGCCTGCGGCCTTATGGTCTAGAGCTTTAACAGCCGATAGGGAGGATGTCCGGCCCACTATCCGTTCTAACCCAGGGCCTGTCACAGGTTCTGCATTTTGTTATTTGCGGGGACATAGCCCCTTTGTCCGTTTTCATCGCATCACCACTTTTCTATTGCGTTAACACCACTACAGCATCACTATGTCCGCAAAGACCTTTCTCGTATCGCCACCGATTTAGGTCATCTTACGGTGAAAATACGTCATTCCAACATCATTCAGTCATGGGTCTTCGCCCCGGGGTTGTTGCCAAGGCTATTGCATATAAAATTGACACAATAATCAGCAATCCTACTTGTTGAGAGCAATGTAATCCGGAAATAATTACCAGTTTGCGAGACTTCAAACCAATTATAATAAGCATTCGGAATGTCGAAAAACAATTCTTGTGGTGTCACTGAGGCGCAGGTACCGCAGCAGAGGGCGCAATGGGAGATCTCTGCCACCACCACTTTGCCGGATGGTCGTACAATTGATTGGATCCCAATTTGTTCCCAAGGCGAAATTGCCGAACTACCAGCCGAGCCACCACCCAATATGCAAGCAAGGTCGGTGCATGAGCAGAAAGCCGATATGCCAGCAGTACCGGAATTGGAAATGGAAGGAATCGAGAAAGGTCCTCCGGGTACAGTTCCGGTTCTTCGAGGGAAAATAGAACCCAACAAGATGTTTGCACCGTCGCAGTCAAAGCCAGGTCCGCCATTGAATGACTCAATGCCGGTCTCGCCGATCCCTGGTACAAGCGGAATTCCCCGGGTTGCTGGATCGCATCAGATTGTGAAAAACTTTGGCGCCGGGGCAGACTTTAGTACCTTTGCTCCGGAAATGGACCAATCAGATGACTACTCCCTCATCGAGATCATTGTGGAAAATGATCTTGGGGCTTTCGACCCATCAAGGCCAAGGGAGGATTCGAGGCAGGCTGTTGAAGTTGGGTGGGTGGTATATCCAAGTTTACTGGGTACATCAGCTCAGCTCTTTACATTTTTCACGACCTGTGGTTATAAAAATGACCTCGCAGATTACAATGACAAACAAGGGTGGAATTCCGATGTGACGGGCTGGATACAAACTGATGACCTGATTTTTCCAGGGACTGTGTTCGAAAATAGCGTTGTTGGTGGTGATCAATACAAAATTACAGCGCGCTGGAGATTGGACAATGGTAACTGGTGGCTTTGGGTGAGAGACCGCTGGATCGGTTATTATCCAGCCAAGCTATTCCGGCGCGGCCGTCCCCACTGCACCCTCTCAGATCATGCTGATGGAATCTATGTCTATGGCCAAGTTTGGGACTCTAAGTGGACTACGGCAAATCCTGCCGGAACGAAGACTGATATGGGGAGTGGGAGGTTCCCTACGGAAGGCTTCAAATACTCAAGCTACATTAAGAAGATCAAATTCCAGCCGCATCAAGGAGATCAATACCTTCAGGACTTTGATTCCACGGTTGCTCTCACCAGTGACCGCACCAAGTACGATGCTGAGTTCCATTTCAAATCTGGCAGCTCTGAATGGGGTAGCTATATGTGGGTAGGAGGACCTGGCAGACTGTGACTACTTGGTTTTTTCACTGTTATGTATTTAATATATGAGCAGCCGCAAATTGTCCTTAGGAATTCATCTAACAATAATGTGAGTCAAATCGTGCAAAACCCTGTCCTTTTTGTTTCTGTTGCCTTTACAAAAGGTTTTACTGCCTCTGAACGTCAAAAAAAGTTCCAAATATTCCGTAAAGGAAATAAATCCTATACGCTACTTTTAAGAGGCATTAAAATGATCAGACTGCAATATCAGTTAAAGTCAGTACTTAAGGTTATGCTGGCTTTCGAATTCATGGAAACAGGGGCGCTTGCGGTGGTCTTCGGGAGAGGTGGATCTTCTGCTGAAGTTAAGGGACAAGCAATGACCGTGCTCAGAGGTGGTAAAGTTATTCTCCGACCGACATCCGGGAAGAAGCCCTGGTTCAATCCAAGTACTTGGGTACGACACTCAAAAAAGCACGACAGAATAGGATTATACCAGCCACAGCCTGAAACGGAGCATACATTCAAGTGTCTTCACTAAACGCCTGGGAATTACAGTATTATGTAGTAGATGAGAAGCAAACATTTGACTCCCTGCATGGGTACTGTATGCTCGATTTTGCTAACGTCTGAGAATGGGCCGCGACATATTCGTCGTTTCATGCTTCCAGCTTCTGTCTTCGTAGCGCACAGCAAAACGTAGGCCGCCAATTGGAGGTTCAGCATAAGGAATTCCTAGATACTCTGAAACATCCGGTCGCAGGGCAGAAGCTTTCCCTTGCACACGCCCACTTGTGGTGTCAAAAATATCACCAATATTGAACGCGAATGTGTTTTTGAACATCACCACAATATGGCAACAAAGAGAAAGGATGCAAACGTACAGTATTTCCCAAGTAATAATTGGAACGAGTCTGAGACTTAAAAACAAGGTGTTGCCTCCTGGCTTTTAGCCTACACAAATGGTCAAGCTGCCGGCAAGTTCTTACCTGTTTTCGGATTGGGTTCGGCACTCTCTTAGCGATACGTAACGATGCACTCGTCTGACGTGAACAATGTCAGTCTCATCATGACGAACCTTGTAAACGACTGGTTTCCGTCGCCGAATGCTCTAGAGCGGCGTCCATTGACGGATAATGGTTATTGTAGTATGCTAACGCATATCGACAAATCAAATCTAAATTTTAAATTCAACTCAAGTTTAGACTTAAGTCTAGGCTCCTCGAGACCATGCCTAGCTGCATCCAGTTGGAATGACGTAATATTGTTCGTATTAAGTTAGTCACAAACACTTTGTTGTTCCCACTAGAGACAACAATTAAAGTTTATCCGACCCGTGCGCTTCATTGTCTGATCCATGGTTCATTTTAGCCCATTGGACTTTATGGTAGTGATGCTAAAATTACGTTTGCCGTCTTGTTGTGGACTAAGGTGTTTTTGATTCTCTGATCATTGCTCTTTGGGCCTTCCTTGGTTTGCTTAGACATTTGGTTATTGAGTTAGCATTGAGATCATATACATTGGTTAGGAAGTGATGTCATTGTGATGGAAAGACCTTGCATGATCACATGTTGGTTGTTCTGTTGACTTCCCGAACCTAGGGGACACAAAGCCCCTCATGAAGTGAAACATATTTTGCGTTAACTTCGGCTTCTATAAACCCACCTGAAGTCTATTCTAGACTTCCCTATTAGACTAAATCAAACCATCTACTACTATCAATTACCTGGATTACTCACAAGATTGTTAGCTACTCAATCATAATGGGTTTCAGTGTGACGCCCTCCCTAACAGTTAAATCCTGGCATTGAAACCTGGTCGAAAGTCTTCTTCGACAGTCTCTCCCTCCTTCTCGGACTTTTTTGATTTCTTCTTCTGGCATCAGATGTCTTAAACTTGCTTTTGACGATAGTTGTAGGCGATGATGTAAGATATAGTAGCGTAATAGTATTCCCTAGTTGCCTATAGGGACTACCGCTACTCCGCCGATAAGGCTAACAGATGCATAAATGAATTTATAATAATAATAATAATAATATAATGATGATAACTCCGTGCACTTCAGGGCAAACGCAACACCTTTTTGCAGACAAACTCACGGGGGCGTCGTCTATCATCCTTTGATCTCACTAGGTCTATTCCAGTGCAAAGAAAAATCCTATGATAATTATTCGTATAGCTTTAAAAGAGGTAAATGACATCAATTGTTGCAGAGGCTACATGTTGAATTGCAAGTATTCGTTAAAACAACAGTAAGAGAGTGCAAGCCCTTTTAAATACCAACATCAGTTTTTGTAGAAAATAGCATGGTGCTGCATGTTGAACTGCAACTATCAACTAAATCGCAAGTACAATAGGAGAGTTGAGCCCTTGAATGACATTAGATAGGTCTGATTAAGCAGACATCTGTCTCCGTTGTTAGAAACTTTATATGAATTGATCATATCTGTGTAACTCACTGCTTTTAATCATTGAAGACTGCCCCGAGCTGATCAATATCACCTCTAAACAAAATGCATTTGTGCAGAGGCGGCCATTTCTGGCGTCAAAGGGGGCCGAAAGTGGCCTCTTCGGCACAGTTCTTACGCACACGCATTTTCGGTCCTAGAGTCACGCGCTTCTCACCGGCCCTTTGTAACGTGCATTCTCACGTTCTTGTTCGGTCGTGTCGGTGCCTGGGCGCGTAGCTTCTCTTCCCCTATCCTCGAGCCCCGCTCCTGCTTTCCATCGACTTCTACCAACACCGGGCCTGCTCCTTAGGCGCTACCATAAAATCTTCGTTTTGGGAGATCGCCAAAAATGGCACACTCTATCCCAGGCTTATTAGTCGCTAGGGCAATAGCGTTTATAACTATAAAGCTGCGAACAGTCCCTCCTTACTCTTCTATTCAGCTCCCCTCTCACTTATCCTTTGTTAGTCTCTCCTTTAGTACGTGTCTTATAATCGTTCGTTATTCTTATTGATTTGTCTTCCTGCCTGGAGCGGCCTCGTATATATCATTATTTCCCTAGACGCAGCATAAGCGACGTTGTAGATCTATCCTCTATAATCGATAGCGATATTTCTGAGATGTCTTTCCGGCCTGACAACGATACAACCGATAACTCCGATTTCGGGGAAGCCTCAAATTCAACCGAGCTAATAACTCCGGAATCCACCTATTCTCCTGATAATTGTAGTAGGTCTTTTACTCGTTTAAAACGATCTGTGTGTTATCCAGCGGACGCTAGTGTTTTGCCTAATTTCAGCGACGACCCTAATGATGATATAGACGAGGACATTGCAAACGTGCCACTTGATTATAGGCGCTCAGAACAAACCAAGGTTCGAGGTCAACGAATAGAAAAGCGCTAAGACAAGTAAGCATTTATTCAGACCTATGCAATAGGGAAGTGATCACTGATATGAGTTATAGGTATTGCCGAGTGAAGGCTGCTCAAGCTAGTGCGCTGTTGAAATAGGATGACCTAATGGAGGCACTGCGTGAGGTTACTCCTAATGATATGCATCGTTTTTTCAACTACTACATAAAGCTGAAGTATAACGAAGGCGGTCATTATCTGAAGAGAACATCGAAAGCGAGCGCCCTGAAAGCTGATTGAAAAGGATTTTGGGGTTACTATCGGAGAATAACACGGACTAGGATAACTGCCGAAGATAGCGAAGAGATTAATACAGTAAGTGATTCATTAACCTAACGACGACCAGCTAGCGTGTGCGTAATATCCCACAACAAGATCTTCCCAATCATTAGATCCAAGGACTGACGTAGCCTTGGCCATTGAGCCAATCAACAAGGATATTGAAGGCACAAACCAAGCGAAGAGAATAGAACTCAATCTTGTAATCAGAATTCTGGTGCTGACTTGACAAAAGCCTGCGTTCACCAACATCGAAAGGATATTGGCAAGGCCGACACTACAGTGTACGGCATTTCATTCGATGGTATGTTTTTCTGGGTCCTCAAGCTGGACAATGAGTCTCGGGTAAGTGTCACAGGTATCTCGTGCCAGAAATCCTGATACTAATATTTTCCAGTGGTCACGCAAACCCTTTGATGTTTTTAAAAACAATTTCGCACAATTGCGTGGTATACTCGTACACCTAATGAAGAAAGCAGCGTCTGTGCCCCCCGTCGCCTCCAAACGTACTTCGCGCCGTACAGAGGAAATCGGAGATTCTGACCTTATATTCGATTTTACCCCCTTGCTAGATGAAGATATCGACGTGGATTCGGATTTTGAATGATATTTTGGTCGCGTTTGTTCTCTGGCTTTCGTTCCTTGTCTCTACCACTACTTACTTCTCTTATGTGGGCCCATAATTCCTTACAGTCATTCTACCGAAGAAGAAATGAATTTGGCACTAGTTTACAATGACGACGGTCAATTCTTCAAAGTTGGTAAACATGTGTCCAGGGTCCTCTAGTCATCGCCTTTGGTAACAATAAAACCCGCACGGGCGGGGGAATTCACAACTGTCGCCCCGCGGCCTCCACTATCTCCAGAGCTTGACTTGCGGCCTGCACCGCGCTCTCCAACTGGCCACGATCAAGGTGTTCGTTTTCGAGCAGGGCCTTGACAGTTTCCATGGCCTCCCTGGCCGGCGCAACCAGGCGTTCAAATAATGCAGCTCTGATAGTGAAGTCACAACAATTAGGTCTTTTCTGTCTTTGGATGCAGATAATTGGCAAAAGTATCTCTCTACTGGAAGAGTACACACTGTTCATACCATGGGCAAAACTATATATTTGTGGTAATCAACACTTTAGCTCTTAAGTCTGTTCTGGGCATACAGTGTGACTGTTCATTCATCTTTCTCCATATATCCGCAGCTTTCAGCTTTGTTGTTTGCGGTTTCAACTCCAACAGAAGACACGGTCCAGTGTCGGACTCATAAACTCTTTGTTGAGCACTTGAACCCATTGAATGAAAGATCTCTAAGCAGTGGTCAAGAAGATTCAGCCTGGAACTATCATAAATTGGGGCTCATCAATCTTCCTACAGAATGAGCTTGCTATAATACAAAGT